AATTCAATAAATACTTATTGTATTGAATAATGTGAAATTTAAAAATTTTATAAGTGTTTGTCTATTTATTTAGTTCATAATATAGGATAAAATAATTAAATTTGATGTTTTATTTTTAAATCACAAAAGCTACTCTAAAAGTACAAAATTTTAGATTTTACTAAAACTGTTTTTAATACCAAAAGCTCTGCTTCCAGCTTTATGAGATAATGTTTACCAAACACTTTAAAAGTATTTTTAGAACATAAAAGTACTTTTTTTTAACCAAAAGCACCGCAATCCCAAACGGGGCCCTAGTTGCCGTTGTTGGCATGTCTTGCTTTTTTTAAAGAATGTATATAAACCGGGAAGAGGATGTCAAAACATGGTCATCCTCCATGTCTTGCTCACGTGCGGGTTGTCAAAGTGGCCTGAGCTAGAAATCTTTTTTTTTTTTTGCGTTCTTCTTTCTTCTTTCTTTTGTCCTCTTTCTTGAGAGAACCCAACGTCTTTGTTTTTGTTCCTTTTTCTTTGTTCTTTGTTTTTTTTTTTGTTCTGAAAGTTGCTGTCGTCCTCCATCAAACGTCTTTTTTGTCCTTGGAACCCAACACTAATTATACCTCTTTTTTTTTTGTTCTTCTTACTTTTTCTTGGAAGAACCCAACGTCTGTTTTTTTCCCTTTTTCTTTTTGTTCTGTCTTTTGTCCTTGGAACCCAACACTAATTATAGCATCTTTGCTAAGCAGTGTGCTTTTTATATTGAGCTGTTAGAATTGGGATTGTAATGATTAGCTTTCTATTAAAAGCGGATAATAGGACCTTAGAACCGTAACATATCGCTGTCAAACAATAATAAATAACTTTCGAGTATACACAGCAGCTATGCAGTACGGCTATACATTATTATAACAACTTTGCTAAGCATCGTGCTTTTTATTGAGCTGTTAAAATTGGAAAAGTGATCATTAGCTTCCTATTAAAATACACTTCTTACTGGTTCCTCGGATTTGAAACACCCGCTCACTGTTTACGCCTTTTCATGGACCTTTTCGGCTCGGCTTTTCATGAACGGGGGTGGAGACTAGCTTTTTTAGTACTTTTTCATGCAGACGTCTGGCCCTGTGTTCCTCTTCTCCGTCTTATTTTGCACTAGTTCCTCGGCCTTCGCTAGTTCTGTTGCATCTTTTGCGCTCTTACTCTTGCCATCAATATACTCTTTGCTTCCACTAGCTGGAAGAGGTCCTCGTTCTGTTTCTACTTTACGCTTCTTTTTTTAAAAATGTTTCTTACTTCCTGCCTATCCAGTTTCTATGCTTAATTAGGCTGTGCTTCTATCAATCTGCGCTCAGTTTCGCTTGTTAACTGATTAGCGTTTTTCCTTTGGTTGGGCTTAGTTCCTGTCTCTATACTGCTTTTCCATGGTGACTGCTGCTTAGATGGTTTACGTTTGCCTATGGCTAGCCTGGTTATGTTGTGTGCGTTGACTTTGTTAGCTCCGTACTTGCTTTTCCATGCTGTTCAGTTCCAAAACTGCATATGCCAATTGCACACGTCACCTATTCCATTTTTTTAGCAATAACTTAGTACCGTGTTTGCTTTTCCATGCTGGTGTTTTAAAGCTGCTGCTATTCCTCTTATCTGTATTTGTTTACCTATTTTTTCCTCATTGCATGTGTCCTTGTTCGTTTAACTATTTTTTGTAATTTCTTTATACATGAACTGCTATTGTTTAGCTCAGTGCATGTGTCATTTACGTTAACTCCGTTTCTTTTGTTTCTTGCATGCAAGTTGTGCGTTCCAACTCCTACGGTTACAGGTACTCTCTGCTCCTCCACTGTGTGAACTTTGTTGCTTAATCTTCGTCATCATCCAATCTTTTTGTTGCTGGTTAGCCTTCATGCTCATTCCATCTTTTGTTGAATTTTTTACCCACTTCTGTTTTCCCTTTCCCAGTTTTCTTGCTTTCTTCTTCTTCCATTTCCTGTTTCTTTCTTGCTGCTATTATTTTTATCGAGTCGATTGCATGGCTTGTCTGCTACGGCCGTTGTGTGGTTTGAAAGTAAAACATGTAGTCCCTGCCTTGTCGGTGTTCTACTGTTTTATGGCTGCTGGATGCCTTCTATCTGGGAATACATGAATTCTTTACTTCGGTGGTGCTAGCTTAATGGATAGAAATGCCAAGCGTCGCAAGCGCTATGCCGAAATGCCCACAAGAAAAAAAGGAAGATCTCTTGCAGTGCCGCAGGGAAGCTAATGCTGCACGAAAAAAAAATGTAACCCTTCCTCCTCCTGTTCCTGGATCTGCAACTCGCCTCTTAAAGAGAAGGCGCGGAACTGGTGTTCAGCAAACAACTTCTACGGCCGTAGGAACAGTCGTCTGTTCTGATGCTTCGGCCAACCAATGTCCAGCTCCTAGACAAAGTCACTTTGTCGAGCAAGACAGAGTTGCTATAGATGCTCATGGACTAGCATCTTTGGCTGATTCTGTATCCAGTACGTCAAACGCTTCTGAAATAGCTATTTCATCTCTCTATGGATTGCTTGCTGTTCCAACGCAAGCTGCTAATACAGGTATGTCTGCTTCTTTATTTTGTTCCGCTGCCATTTAAGTTATGGCTCCTTTGGTCTTGTCAAGTTCCTCATTGTCGGTCGTGCTCTAGGTACTCTTTTGTGGCCTGCTTCTTTTTACTTTCTTGTCCTTTGTTTCTGCTACCACTAATTTTTGGAGCTTCGCTTTTCTGCAAGGTAAACATAAAAGGGTTACCAAAAGAAGTCTTTCTCGGCTGGATAAGATTGCAGAAAAAGTTTTGCCCCTGCCTTATGCTCCGCCCTGTCAGTATTGTGGAGCTCAGCGATGCCATATGGAGCCTCCTAACTTCTGCTGTTCCGGAGGAGGAGTTAGCCTTGTTAGCTCGTCAATGCCTTATGACCTTCGCCACTTGTTTACTGGAGAGGATGAGGAGTGTGAACACTTTAGGAGAAATGCTCGCACTTACAACAATAACGTTGCTTTTACATTATTGGGTGCAAAGTATGATAAGGAATTAACTAAGAACAAAAATGGCCTTTATACATTTCGCGTCCAAGGCCAGGTCTATCATTTTCTCGAAGGATTACAGGCGCGCGATGCTAAGGCTTCTGGTATTCAGTTATACTTCTTTGATACCGATGAAGAGCTTGCCAGAAGAGTTGATGGATCTCCTAAGTTAAGAGAAACTACTCTCAGGCTGCTTCTGCGTATCCTTGCAGACAACCCTTATGCCAAGTTCTTTAAAGATCTACGCAGCGTGCCGAATCTTGATGATCACAGGATCGTTCTCAACTGCAATGTGAGTCTGGATCAGCGTGTATATAATCTCCCAACCGCTTCACAGGTTGCAGCAATATGGACTGGAGATGGTGATGAATCCACAAATGCTTCCGCTCATATTCAGGTCTATAGTCACTCAGATACAAGCCATAAGATCAAGCATTTTTACTCTTGCTATGACTCTCTGCAGTATCCTTTGTTGTTTCCTCGCGGGGAATGTGGATGGCATCCTGGTATCCAGCGGGTTCAAGAGCACAGCAAAAAACGCAGCTCTCGTGCCTGTGAAGACCAAACCATTGTTGACCCGGTATCTCTTGCCAATGCTTCGCAGTTGATTGACTCGGAAGAAAGAGGTAGGTTTTCTTCTATTTAGCTTCTTATCTTTTCTGCTTCTCGTTGCTAATGCCTCATATCATATCTTTTACATGCTTTAGCTGCTAAGCGTGGCAAGGGGCAGAAAAGCAATGTCACTGCAAGGGAATACTACTGCTATAAACTACAGATGCGGCCGAATGATGATAGCATGCTGTTGCATGCACTGAGACTGCTGCAACAGTACTCTGTTGATATCTATGTCAAGATAGAAACATCAAGACTTGCTTTCCACAGAAAGAAACATAATGAAATCCGAACAGAGGCATTAAAAGGTATAATGGATAGTGTTTCAGCTGGTGAAACATCGGGTTCCAAAGTTGGCCGGAGAGTTCTTTTGCCTGCCTCTTTTATTGGTTGTCCAAGAGATATGAGACGTCAGTACCTCGATGCAATGTCTTTGGTACAGAGATATGGTAAGCCTGACATCTTTTTAACTATGACATGCAATCCAATGTGGAGAGAAATTCAGGACAATCTGATGTATAAAGAAAAGGCGCATGATCGACCCGATTTACTTTCTCGAGTATTCAGAGCAAAGTTTGAGTTGTTAAAAGCTGAAATCTTGAACAAAAAAAATATTTGGGGACGTTGCGGCTTGTGTTTATGTCATTGAATTTCAAAAAGGGGTTATCCACATGCTCATATGCTGCTGATTTTAAAACACAGATTTAAGCCACTCAATCCTGAAGCTTATGATAGGATCGTATGTGCTGAATTGCCAGACTCCGCTAAATTTCCTCACTTGCATTCCCTTGTGGTCAAACATATGATCCACGGCCCTTGTGAAAAAAATGAATGCTCACAGCCCTTGTATAAGAGATGGTCTGTGTAGAAATCATTATCCGAAAGAATTCTGCCAACAAACGTCGCATGCTGAAGATTGTTATCCTTCTTATCGTCGACGAAATGATGGCAAATGGGTTAAGGTGAGGCGTTATGATTTGGATAATAGATGGGTTGTACCCTATAATCCATATCTTCTTGCTTTATTTGACTGTCACATGAATGTGGAGATCTGCTCCACAATCAAATTAGTTAAGTATCTCTACAAATATATATTCAAGGGGCATGATCTTGTTAACTTTCACATTATAGCTCAGAATACCTCTGATGATGTTGATGAAATTCGAGAATTCCAGCAGGGTAGATGGGTTTCATCTCCAGAGGCTTTATGGCGTATCTATGGCTTCCGCTTAAATGAAATGACTCCTGCTGTTTACACTCTTCAGGTGCACCTTTCTGATCAGCAATACGTCTCTTTTGATAGAAATGCTGATCTTTTAAACCTTTTGAGCCAAATAGATTTGTCAAAGACTATGTTAACAGAATTTTTGAAATGAACAAGACCAATAAAAAAGCTCAGGACTTAAAGTGCCTATATCGAGATTTTCCTCAGTATTTTGTCTGGGCGCCAGCAAAGAGAGCATGGTCCGAGAGGAGCAGAAGAAAAGTTATTGGCAGATTGGTTACCGTTAGCCCGAGTGAAGGTGATAGATATTATCTAGGATTGCTATTATCGCATGTTTGTTGTCCTACGTCTTTTGATGATTTATTAGCTGTTGATGGCCAAAAGATGAGCTCATTTAGAGAGGCAGCGTTAAAGTTTGGCTTGTTAAATTCTGATTCGTACATAGAGGATACACTTGAAGAAGCGGCTGGCTTTCAAATGCCTTCGTCCCTCAGGTTTCTCTTTGCCACTCTTTTGTTGTGTTGTTCTCCAGCCAATCCACGCTTTCATTGGGAAAAATTTGAAGCTGAGATGTCTAGAGATTTTCAGCGATCTCATCCCTCTCATGAGTATTGTTCTGATGAAATCAGAAGAAAAGTATTGCTGGATATTAATAAGACGCTTGAGCAGATGGGCCGACACATTACTGATTATCATTTACATTCAAATTGTTTTAGCCTTAACTGCCAAGACCGCCTAACAAAAAAGGTTGACAATGAAAGGAATATCGAAGTTACGCCGGAAGATTTACTTATAGCTTCAAAGTTGAATGCAGAGTAGAGGCATGCATATGATTTGATCCTCCAGTCAGTTTTCTCTTCAGAGGGGAGGGCATACTTTGTCGATGGCCCCGGAGAGACCGGTAAAACATTCTTGTATCGTTCTCTCCTCGCTACCTTGAGATCACAGGGATATATTGCGATTGCTGTTGCGACTTCCGGCGTTGCAGCTTCCATTCTACCTAGTGGAAGAACGGCACATTCCAGGTTCAAAATTCCATTGGATTGTTCAAGAAATAGGATTTGCCAACTAAGTAAGCAGTCTAGCACTGGCAAGTTAATTGCTGAATATAAACTGGTTCTTTGGGACGAAGCTTCAATGGCAAGAAAAGAGACCATTGAAGCTTTTGATGAATTGCTTAGAGATATAATGGAATCCGATGAGCCTTTCGGAGGTAAAGTCGTTGTATTTGGTGGTGATTATCGACAGACTTTGCCTGTTATTCAAGGAGCCACCAGGGACCAGTTAGTTGGCTCCAGTCTTGTTAGTTTGGCACTATGGTCTAAAATGCTATGGTTGAGATTGACGGAAAACATGCGAGCTTTCTCAGACCCTTCTTTCTCTCAATTCTTACTGAGAGTTGGTGAAGGATTGGATCCTATGGATAAGGACAACCAGATATGTCTTCCAAGCAATATCGTGGTTCCATTTGTTAACGTAGAAACGTCTCTGAATAGGTTACTTCTGTTTTACATTCTCCTGCTTCTTATATTTTTTTTCCGTATTGGTGCTCTAGCTGCTTGTTTAGTCATATTGTTCAAATGATCTTTCTCTGTCAGGTTGCTACTCTGTGTTTTTCCAGATTTGAACGCCTGCTGGAATGATCCTTACAAATTGATCAATAGATGCATTTTGACCCCTAAAAATGCTTCTGTTGACGATCTCAATGGGGTGCTGATCAACAGATTCCCTGGACAGCTTCATATTTACACTAGCTCAGATAGAACTTTGGATCAGCGACATCAGAGTGATTACAAAGATTTTTTAAATTCTCAGAATCCAAAGGGCTTGCCTCCACATAAGCTTCTGCTAAAGGAGAACTGTCCGCTGATTCTACTTAGAAATTTAAATCCGCTTGAAGGCCTGTGTAATGGTACGAGACTTATTTGTCGACAGCTGCTGCAACACACTATTTGCGCCGAAATTGCCTTTGGTCAGCACAGAGGGAAAACAATTTTCATACCAAAGATCCCATTGCAGACATCAGATACTGAAAAAAATGGTATCCCTTTCATAAGAACACAGTTTCCAGTTCGTCTGTGTTTTGCAATGACAATCAACAAAGCTCAGGGTCAAACCTTGGACTATGTCGGTATCTACTTACGAGAACCAGTCTTTTTGCATGGCCAGTTATACGTTGCCCTGTCAAGAGCCAAGTCTGCTGCTGCAGTGAAAGTTCTAATACTACCTGGAACTTTTGATGACGTGAAACTGGATTGCAAGACAAGAAATGTTGTCTTTACTGAAATTTTAGAATTGTCTGGCTGATTGTGCATGCTTCAATGAACTATCTTTGATAATTAATTTAAGCTTAGTTTGTTTCCGTCTATTTATACCTTTACTCTTTTATTAATGCTTATCCTTACTTTTTCCTTTGCTATCCATTCTAAGATGGATAATGTCATACCTATCAAAGATGTTCCATTTGGAATGCATAAATGGACATCAAAGATTGTTGTCCAAGAGAAGCAGCAGGTGACTTCAGCAAGAAGCACGCCAACAAAGAAACAAAAATTCATTTTCATTGATTCAGAGGTATTAATTGTGTTTTCCTTTATCGGCTAATGTGGCCTCTTCACTTATTTGTTTAACTGTGTCATTGACATAAATACCATTTATGTGTTTCTTTTGAAGGGATCAAAAGTTGAAGGGATTATATTTAACACAAATATTCCTGTCATGAGCCCAAGGATTGAAGTTTATAAGAGTTGGTTAGTCTGTCTATTTTTTACGGATTTGCTTGTTGCAGCTTTATCAGTTAGCTTGGCTTCTTGCTCATAATGTTGCTTATTGCAGGGCAATGAGAAATTACAGAATGCTTATAGATATTGTTAACCAAGAGACATATAACCGGTACAACCCTGATATCTCTTTCCAAGCGGATCAGAAGATCACCGATATAATAAATATCATGTCGAGCCAAAGGGTAATGAATTCGTTTCTGTCAAACAATTTGCTGATACCAGTGCAACTGAACAACTGCTTTACTCATTTGGCTCTTACTTTTCAGGCTGTTTGGGTGAAAGCGTTGTTCTCGTTTGAGAATATCTTTCAAAAATTCTGGTATATGGGTTGTGAAAAATGCTTTCGCTCGACAACTGCTGATCATGGAGTTACCTTTATGTGTAATACTTGCAAGAAAAAATATAAAGCACAACCAAGGTCTTTTACGTGGTGCAGCTTATTACTTCCATTTCCAAATGCATCTTTCGAGACTTATTTATATCTATCACTGATTTGGAAACTTCCCCAAACAGATGTCGACTTGATGTTGACTTAACTGATGCCACTGGAACCATTACAGCTACGCTCTTTGGTGACTTAGCTGAACAACTTTTGTCATTTACAGCTGTTGAAGTAATGGAACACTTTAATCAGGTCAGCTTTCTATCATATCTAGCAACAATATGGATACAATTTAGCCGTGCCCAATGTTTGGTCTTTTTGATCATTCTGCAGAATATAGAGGTTCCATTGGAGAAGCTACATCAAGAGCTCAAATCAAAAATATTTATAACTCACATCAAGCCTGTCCAGACCCCACTGGCAGATGGAAAACGCCGCTATACAATGCAGCACTATAAAGAGTATTCCAACATAGACTCTCCTCCAGCAAAGATGTCCGCCGAATGCTCCTCATCGAGAGCTAAAACTTCTCTCATTCAGAGATTCAGTGAATCTGATGATACTCAGGAAACTGACCTGCGTACTGTCGAGGCCAATGCACTCAAAAAATCTAAGTTCAATTAAAGCGCCTATCCATGGTGTAACTCAAACTCTTCTTTTCCAAATGCCTCATAGTGAATGGTTACTAATAGGTTTATGAAATCTGATTTTGTCACTCATTTTGCATCGGTTCATGCTTTGTATTGGCCTAGACAGTAATTTTGTCGCTCTGCCAACCTCAGAATGACTATATCCATTAGTTGTTAACGATTATCGTTTTGCAGTATTGAGTGTTTCAATTGTTAGCTTCTTCGTAATGTCTTCTGTTGTGGCGTGTCTACAAGTATAGTTTCGCATTGATCTGCTATTCAATGCAGCAATTGCCTTCGTCTATATTTCCAGCATAACTCAATACTTCTATTACTTTACAATTAGCAAAACTCTCCTTGCATTTTTGTTATATCACAATCTTATTCCAACTTACCTCATCTGTCCTCTCCAAAAGAATGAAAGCACCATTAGTGTGCATGTTGTGATTTTTACATGTTTCGTTTTCCAATGACCAGTAATGGTTGAACCGTTGTCATTAAATAGTTAATGAGTCCCAAGAATTTTAAGCATGCTTTCTCTATAACCAATAGGACGCCTTCAAGTATTAACTCAATCACTTAATTTCATCTCACTGTTCACCCGACACCATCACAACAAACTTATTCGGTCTTGCGTGCTTCTCCTATATATACCCAAACAGCAAAACAACTACTGCAACATAGAGTAAAGAGGCAGAAATTGCATTTCACTTTTAGCTAAGAATAAAAAATAATGCAGTCCCCCGAGACTGTTGCCTCATCCAATTCGCCAGCAAGAAATACCACATTTCATTCATGCTGCTTCTTTTTCAGATTGAACGTGCCTGACCAGGTATATCCTTACTGTCTGTATTGGCTGTCGTTATTGCAAATACGTCTTATCTCAGCTTTCATAATGCTAGAATTTCTCTGCAAATTTTAGATATTTCCTCCTCAGTTCCAAGCAATCCTCATTAAGCACCAGTGCAATCAAATTACTCTGCGTGAGGGCTACAAAACATGGATCATTAAACTCAACAGACAGTGGTTTGGAGATGGATAGCAGGAATTCTGTCGCAGCAACATCCTCAGGCAGAGTGATTCTTTCTTGCTCCGTCATTCTGGAAGTTTAGTTTTTTATGTGATTCATTTCTCAGAGGACCGTCAGCAAGCACGCATGCCATGGACAGATCCATTACCTAATATTCTACATCTAAAGCCGTCCTTTGGATCAGAAAGTTAGCCTTGCTATTTTTTGTCTGATTTTACTCATTATTCATTTTTTTTCAGAAGATTCTGCTTGCTTGCCTCATATGTATATAATCTTCTTCGCAGTAAATAGAAAGCTAAGAATTGTACGACAGCGAGTTTTATCATCAATGAAACCAGATTTTGTAAATAACTTAATTGAAGGAGCGTGTTTCTATCAGATTGTTACAAGGAACACTCGACATAAATTTGTAAGTTTTTTTTTTTTACTTTTAAATGCATCTTCCCCTGATTATTCTGCAGCAATGTTAACGATGTTGAGTGTGCCACCAGAAAATTCCCAGATTTACGCTTCACTGCTTACCTGGTGACAAAACACCTTCTGTTACTCTGAGGACTGGAAATAAAATAATAACTGTTACCATGCATGGAAGGCAGTTTATAGATAACTGGGACATTTTTGCTGCTGAGCACCAACTTGAACTAGGTGAAATTTTAGCTTTCCTTCCTGAATCAAGCTACACCTACACTGTTTTAATCTTTGACAGATATGGTGTAGAAAAGCAGTTCTCATGGTATCACAGTTTCCATGTTTACTCCATCATGAAGAATGAATCAATTTAGATTAATCAAAAATAGCAGCTTCCCTGCATCATGTTTCTTTTTTTCAAGCGTTTACTATAAGGATTCTTTTCGCTTATATATTATTCCATTCTCTGCAGCTTCTTTTTCTTTGCCACCTTATACTTAACAAATGAAAAATTCTCCTGCTGAAAAAATTACGCACAACACATGGCTTCTTAGACATTTCTATAACCATGCTAGGAATCCAAAAAACCTTTCAACCGAAGTAAATAATTTCTCTGCTTCTGAAATACATGTTCACTGTCCCTTCAATCTGGGCATATTTACACGGTACCACCGTGCGCAAGCACGGTGAACATCTCCTACCGCACGGTGAACATCTCCTAGTCTTTATAAACATACGAAGTGACTGTGTAGGTGATGATTCATATGATATCATGCCCTCTGATATTAAATGAAGTCGTTTGCTTTTTTTATTCCTTGATCAGTCAGCATTTGAATTTTTTCCTTTGTTTTCAGTTAAGAGTTGTGTTGAGCTTTAAGATTAACTTGTGAAGAGAATGATAGAAGAATGCATGAAATTTATCTCAAACAAGGTTCATATGCTGACTTGACTTAAAGATTGGACCAAGAATTGGTTGAGTCTGCCTATCACAATTTATTAAAATCCTTGAAAGGTTGACTTGGTTTTTTAGTTTCAAAATTGGCATATTTGTTTTCCAATTACACAAAGAATTGGTCAAACAGCTCTAACACTAGCTTCGTTAACTAGCTTCGTTAAAGTGACAAGTATAGAAAATTACTCCTCACTAATCTGAGATGAAATCAAGTTTCAGGCAGTTCTGCAATTTCATATACTTATGGAGATTGATTTTAGTATCAACCAGAAATGGAATTATGGAGATCCATTTTTTCTCGGAGAAGAGGAATAGATTTGTAAATTAAGCGTTGACTGAAAGTTTCTACATTATGGGACAATAATAAGCATGGACTAAATACTCTTATTGTATAACGTATATTGTGGAAGCATAAGATCCAAGCATAGTATGGAAGCATAAAGATGTTCAAGCAGAATTGAGCCAATTGACTACCTTTCAAAACATACAATTCTTGTAAAGAAAGACTAGGAATATGTTTGAATCATCCATTCATTTTTTCAAAGAAAAAGCCACAGATGTCTTCTTTATCAGTTCATCGAACTAGCAACATCATCTTGGTGATTCAGACCAGTAAGCAGCTGCAAATCAAGATTTCAAGCATTGGTACGAGAAGACATCCTTTTCCATGCTAGTGGGCACAACACATATAGTATAACTTTTCTCTTGTTTCCGTTTTTTTTTTTTGGGTCTTCAATGGATTTTGAATGATAGCAACCAGTTAGCTCACAAGACTTCGTCCAAAATAAAAGAATTTATCTAAAATAGAGAAAAAAAATGAACTTCAACTTGTGGGCTGTATTAAATTCTCGTGTATACCTGTGGCTATCAAACTTGAAGATTTTCTTGATGTACCCTCACACAAAGTAAGACATCCTTAATGAGATGTAATTTTCTGACAACTTCATTCATGTGCATCCGATCATTTGGCAATTTTGCAGAGCACTTCAGTCCGATTTTTAATAGGGAAATAATGCAATCAATCTCTCTTCCACCATTAATAGTTTCCTCCCCATGAGTAATTCTACTGTTTTCATCTCTTCCTTCAGAAAGAAGCGACGGGTCCACGATCTCGGAGACTTGT